GGCGGTGGCTTCGGCTTAAGCTTAGGCTTCGGCTTATGCTAGGCTTAGGTTAGGCTTAGGCTTAAGCTTAGGCTTGGGCTTAGGCTTAGGCTTAGCTTTGGCTTCAGCTTTGGCTTGGACGTACGCTTAGACCTAGCCAAGCCTTGGCCTACGGAAACCTATCACCGACGCACCTTATCTGTACTTTTCAGGGCCTCCTCGAGACCGCAGCCGCGATGGCTACCGTACCCTCCTTGGTACCGTACCTCGTCAAGCCGTACGCACCAACGGCCAAATCCGTTGCCAAGCACCTGGTGCCCAAGTTCAAGGAGATCATGTCCGCATATCCGAACGTTCTCAAGGGTCAAATGGGATCGCCGGATTTTCGGTTAATCGACTTTATTCATAAGGTAGAGCCGAAAAACGAAAGAAAAGGGCAAGCTAGCAGGGATTCTTTAGGAAATCAGACAAAAGACAGATTTTTCTAAATAGTGTGTAATTTTTGCCGACTCGACTAAATTACGTTTTTAATGTAATAATAAACACAGAATACGGGGAAAACTAGCAAAGAGTCTTTAAAAAACAGACGTTGGACTTTTCCAAACCGCAAAAATTCTGCAAAAAAACTAGTTGAATTTTTTAAATTCACGGTATAAATCATAAGCAATACTTAATTCTAGACGGAACGCTACGCCGAAGTTGTCCTAAACGCTTCACGCGAGTACGAAACACAACTCCCGCCAGAGGAGCGGATACGCACGGCGAGTACGGCGAGACCGAGGACCACGCACAGCGAGGTACGCCTAGACTGTTAGAAAAAAGCGTAGAAAATATGACTGAAAACTACCACTACAAATTAAAATTGATATGACAGCGCAAATAAAAATATATTTATCTTTTTAGGTATCCCTCAATCGACGCTCGTTCGATCTATCGGAAGAGCGCGTCGACCCGTCCTCCGATATCAGTCTGCTATACGGAAAGGCGTTGAAGCACCTTCAAATGCAAACGTATCGGTGCGTAACTTAAATTTGATTCTTTCGAAATCTCTACAAATTTAAAAAATACCGACTTTGAAAATGACCTATTTTCGGCGGAAATCTCAAAAATTCAATCCTGTTCTAGGTTTTTCAGTAGTTTTTAGATTTTAAATAGAACCAGATTGACGTAATAATGCGATTAACATGCTTTTCATGTGAAAAAGCAACAATATAGACTGTTTAAATTTAGAATATTTAAAACCTTTGGGTCTTTTTTAAGCGTTCTAAAAAGTTTTTTTGCCAATTTTTCGAAAACACGATAAGAATGCTTGTTATTACAACACTAGGTATCTGTGAATTAGAAGTATAAGTTTTCTAGGTCGTTTCTCTACACATTAACCTTATTTTTCTAGGTTCATCGGTGACTACGGGAAACTCGTTGTCCCATTCTCCTTTAAGAAAGAGGCCAGAAACGTCAATCCATTCTCACCGGCGCTGAAAGGTAGATTAAAGCTTTAGAAGTTGAAATATTAAAAATAATGTTTAGAACGAACAAAGCGGATCGCCAAGGAATTGGCGTCAATGCCGCAGGCGCTACCGCTAAACGCAAGCAATAGCATTTACGTCTGTGTCGACGAGGGAAGATGTGATATTATTAAGGTAAGTATGACAAATGTTAAGATACAAAATTAACCTACAAGTCGGTCGAATTCATTAAAAACTCGGTTTTTAGGTGCTAATCTCCGGCCCCGATGACACACCCTACCAGAACGGGCTCTTCGAGTTTGATGTGTTTTTCCCGACAAGGCATGGATTTTTCGAAATTTTCTACGTTTTAAAAAGCATAAAAAACGCTACATATATAGATTTATATAATTTTAAAAGAAAAATACGTTTATTAACCCGCTTTTATCTTTCAGCTACCCCTTCTCCCCGCCGAAATGTGCCTTCTTGACGACCGGCTCCGGGAACGTGCGTTTCAACCCGAATTTGTATAACGATGGCAAGGTGGGTATAATCTACTTTCCAAGCTGTAACTCGTTTTATAAATTAATGGTAGTATTAATAACCGAATTAAATCCTTTATGGTATAAAACTTTTGGCTATTTCCGTGAGTTTAGGACGGAAAAGTTTATTTTTGGACGATTTTGGGCGCAAAAACTTTTGAAAACCAAGTCTAAGCCAGGGTTGAACGATCTTTGGCATGATGATAGTTGTAATAAGCTTGCTAAATAAACTATATTACTTTTCATACATCAAAATTCAGGCTAGTTCTGCAATTTAAGAGCTGAAAACTCGCGTTTTTTGCCTACAAACTAAAAAAACAATATAAATTACGCCTTAGCGATATTTTCTATGCAAAAAATTGTTTTGAAAAACTAAAAACTACAAACGGCAACTACTCTCACTTACAGATCTGCCTCTCCATCCTCGGCACCTGGGAGGGCAGACCGGAAGAAAAGTGGAATCCCTACTGCTCGCTGCTGCAAGTGTTGATCAGCATTCAGGTAAGCGCTTAAAAAAACCCTATTAAACAAATCAAACTTAACTTACAATTCAATTCCAGGGCCTCATCTTCGTGAAGGAGCCGTACTTCAACGAGCCGGGCTTTGAGAAATACCAGGGCACCGAGAAGGGCGAGGACTACTCACGGAAGTATAATCTCCAGATCGAGCACGCCACGCTGACATATGCAATCAGGGATCAGATGAGGAACGGACCGGAGTATTTTAAGGTAAGAAAAGCCGGGAGGCTTTATTACATAATTAAGAGGCTTAAACATTGAAAGCAAGCCTTCAAAAACATTGTATTGTATAAAAACTAAATAAGCTCGCATGCTAAACAGAATGAAACAGTACCTAGATTAATTAAACCTTTCCAGAACGTCATCCAGCGCCACTTTTGGCTGAAACGGCACACCATCATCGAGCAGGCCAAGACGTGGCTCGCCGAGATGCGCAAAGACGCCCTCGAGGCCGAGCGCAACCCGAAGCGCAAGGATTCGGTGTCGTTCGACACCATGTACAACCCGTTCAACCAGGTTGGTGACGCCGAAACTTTAATTTTAGGTGTTCAGCGCGTCAAATGCTTAGAAAAACACAAAAACTTCTGTAAAACGTCTATAAAAAGTATCGAACACTCCAAAAACTAGGTCGATGACGTAGATAATTCAATGGAAAATGTTCCCATCGTCAAAAACGCTGTAAAACACAAAAAAACTACGTAAACTTCTATATAAAGTTTTGAAAACTTAAAATAAGCACGAGATGATGCTGTAAGGCTTTTTTGCGCCTGAAAAACTTTGTAAAACTCCGCGAAAACCTAAGAAACGCCGATATAAACGTTTAACTCGTAAAAATTACCACAAAATTTACAGGAACGCGTCATCCACAGCCTCATCAACGAGCTGCAGACGATGACATGCCCCGTGGACCAATGTGAGTTTTTTAAGGCTAAAAATAAGCCAACGATAGCTTTTTAAATGTAAAATAGATCAATACTACGCCTCATTCAACTCTTCTTATAATTTTTAGCCTACAAAACAAAGTAGCGATGTGTTGAAAAACACAAAAATATATCAGCTTAATCGATTAATCGATTTAGTCTAGCTTTCTTGTTGTGTTAAGCTTAAAAACAAAGCAAAGATGGGTTTAAGAATAGAAAATATTGGGTTAATCAATCTAATCTAACTTTTCTTATAACTAAAAGCCCGAAAACAAGTGGACTGCTATTTTAAAAAACTTAAAAACTGTAAAAACCTGATTCTACCTTTCAGATGTATAAAACAACTGCACACGCCCAAAATCACCTCGTCGCCCCACCCCCGAAATGTGATCCGAAACCATGAAAAACTATGGGTATAACTATGGATGTTGTGAAAAGATGGATGGAGACACTCGGCTCAACAATACAAACACAATGCAAATTCCTATATATGGACTATGTATCTACCATCATTCCGCCGTAAAAGTTGCTGCTAAAAGGGCGTTCAAGATATAGAATTAGTTTAGTTAACAATTTTAAATCCAATAGAATTAATTTTGAATTTGAAATATAAGGTATTAATGTAATTCTATACCTTCAACGCGCCTTTATAGCAGCATTTTCGCTCGAGCTTTCACACCTCGATCATCTCTTGCCGCCAACTGGGTAGCTTGCCTTTGACACACACGCGAGACAGTGCATTTCCAAATAATTGTGAACGTTTTTGCCGGTGCTTTAGCGTTATCGGGGGGGGGGGGACTATAAATCGACTGAAAAGTTGAAAATTTGGACGAAAAACCGATCCTTCATCAAAAATTTTAAATCTTTACGCTTTACAAAATTAAAAACAACTCAAATACATTCTTCTTTTATTTTTAGTAGAAAAATGCAAACCCAAAGAAAAGCTTCATGGTCAAACTACATTTCAAGCGGAAAAGCTATCCACAAACTTCTAAAAACATTTTTTCTTGCTAAAAATTTGTAATTTGCCCTGTTTTTCATAATTAAAAAACTAAGAAACATCTTCATTTATATTAAAAAAATCCAACTACGTAAAAAGTCGAAATCCCCCCCCGACAACGCTAAAGTACCGTTTTCCATTTTTTTCCTCCGCCGTCCCTTTACACGTAATTTCACGCCGCGTGTACACACACTTTATCACCGTGTTTTTCATCTGTTCTCTCGCTCTCTGGATACCTGTAAATAAAGTTGAATGAAAAGTCAGCGGGCTGGTGGTGGGGGGCAAAATGAGATCATCATCACAAATCGAGGGTACAGAGAGGGATATGGGGGCAAAAATTTAGGGTGCAAACTTTAGAAGACGAGATTGGACACGTGTGGACTATAAAAGTCAAAGTCACGTGTATAATGTTGCAACTGTATTGAGGTAAATTTAGGATATCAACGCTAGAAAATGACATTCAGCACGTGGGGGATCGTCGAGGTAAATTTAGGGTACAAACATTATAAAACGGGTAAAATGGCATTCAGCACATGAGAAAGTCAACGGAGGTCAATGAAATAACAAAAACAACAACGAGGAATGGCGGCTTTTTAGAACTTGGATCGCTTCGACGCGGGCCCATCGCCGGGAGCCTGGAATAATGAAATTAGGACCGATTTTCGAAAAATCCGGCTCTTCGCATCATAAGGGGCAAAACTTTTCAATAGCATCCAATATTTCTACTCATAATATAAATAATAGAAGTGTTGCTACGCAGTTTTTCCTATTACTAAACAAAAAATTTTTTAAATCAAACCGCAAAAGATTAAACCTCGATTGTACGTCCAAAATTGTCCGCTTTTAATAAAGTTGAAATTTTCGCAAAATTTTTTAAGTTTTCTAATAATAGTTTTACACCTCAAATTTAGCTACATTTTACAAAACGACTAGTAAAAGACGTTCTATTGCGTTGCTATTTAAATGTGGTGCTATAATAAAAAATTGGGTTCCCCCAGGGCAATACTAAAAGCGGAAAGCTCATAGAAAACTGACCGAAAACCCAGCGAGCAGATCGTCCAAATCGCCGGCGCCAACGGGGGCCGTCCACTCCTCCGACGCGCCAAACGCCTCATTGCCCTCGTGCATTATCGGCTCGCCGGCGGCCACCGGGGGCAGTTTCGTGGTGTTGCTGCTGCCTAAAGCCAACTATATATCACATTTCAATCAAACAAAAATAGAAAATTACTAAAACGCAGCTGAGCAGTTTTTTTGTCTCTAGGAAAATTTAATGCCACGCACAAGTAATAAAAGAGCGCTTCAAACGTAAAAAAAAGAAATGTTTTTACTACACACAAAACGTTAAAGATTTCGAAAAGTCAAAACAAATAAAAATTGCAACATGTCAAACATTTTTGGTTATAGCTAAATTTAACGATTCCCAAGCATAACTAGCCGAAAAAGCCATTAATGATAAGATAGAAACGTTTTCAGTCCCACCAAAACTTTAAGGATTCCAAAAAAATACAAACCTGTGCTTGTAGCGGCCCCAGGCAACGCTCCGGCCCCGTCGACGACAAATCCGAGGTCCCCGAATTCCTCTTCCTCCTGCGAACTCAACGAGATCTCGCCGCTTTGGTTGCTGACGTCACTAAAAAGGAATTTTCCAGCGGTAAGCTTTTCCTTACGTCAAATAGAAGGCCGTCCCCACATCGGCTCCCTGATCTTCGGCCAGCAGCGCGTTGAGATTTCGGATGCCGAGCCATTTGCAGAATTTCTCGCTCTGCGGATTGCGGTAGTATTGGCTGGGGCCGTCGTTTTTCCTAAAAAAGAGTGAATTAACGAGAAAAGAGCGATTTATAACCGTATCTGCACATCCTGATGCTTCAACGGAGGCGCCGTGTGCAGAAATGTGGACGAGACGCTCAGATCGCCCAGCTCACGCACCGCCGCCAGCTCTTCGTCGGTCGGCCGGAAGTCCCAGCGCTCATTCTAAAACTCGGAAATAGAGAAATAAAACTGTCGTGAAGATTTCAACTAGTAAAATATCTTAGAATTTTAACTAGATTTTGAAAAGGTCTAGATTTTGCCCAAAAAAAAGTCATTTTTTAACGAAAAATCTATATTTTTATAGTGTTTCCGTTTAGCAGCACTTTCGCTATTTATATTTGAAAAAGAGGACGAGAAAATAGTTGCCCCCCCCCCGATAATGCGAAAGAACCCAAATTTTGATCAAAAATTCGAGTTTTCGACCAAAATGTCAGCTTCCGCAATTTGAGGCGTTGCAACATAGTTTTATAGGAAAAATTCTCGAAAGTAGCAAAAACACTTGAATTCTAGCAAACTCGTACGAACAACGACCGAAAATGCGTGTTGGCATTACGCGTGTTTGGATTTCTCGAAAAAAAACAATCGCCAAAACGCACCGACACCTTCGACGGCAGGTAGCAGGCCTGGGCGGTGACCTCGGTGAACTTGTCGGTGCTTCTGAGGATGGCCAGCCAGTCGGCGTCGTGTTCGAGTGTTAGCGGAGCGTCTGCATCCACTTCAATGTCGAGAATCTAAAAAGCGAAAAGCAAATACCCAAAAAATCTGGTTTTACCTGCAAAAAGTGGCGCCTTGGAATTGGCTTGTCGAGCGCGAGGAATTTCGTCGGCTCGACGCCGTCCAGCTCGTGCGGGATCAGGGCCGGGAACTTGCAGTGGAGATGGGCGGCGAACCAGTGCTTCGGGCGGAGCTCTTGGAGCAGCTGCAGGGTGGCCGCGTTGCCCAGGCGGTTGTATTTGATGTCTTCCTGCAATAAAAAAATGTTAGCCCTTATAAATAAACCTTAAAACGCGTTAACTTTGCTCTTAAATTATGTAAATTAAATCTAAAATCAAGTTAAATTCCATTATATATCAATCCCGGTTTTTCGTAACGCATTACAAGCTTCAATAATATGATTTTTATCCGTTTTTCACATAAAACCCTTCTCATAATATCATCAATGTCCTCTAAATTGGACAAAATCTCGATGAAAAGGTTTGTAAAAAAAATTTTTCCATCATAAAAAGAGGTTCTCAGGCTAAAAAACAAATTGTCGATAGTAAAAAAAGGTTTATCTGTTAGGACAACATCGCTTTTCGAGCGAGGAAAAAAGTTTTTAGGAAAAAAAATTGGATTTTCGCTCACAGAAAACGTTTTTATGCTAAAAAAGGGCTTTTCGGTCATAGAAAAAGGCTTTTTAGAGTTTTTCGCACTTTAAAAACGAAAACACTGGGTTAAATATAATAGCCTACCCGCAAAATAGCGCATATCAATTATTTAGATACTAAAAATATGCGAAAAATCATATTTTCCACGTTTAGCGCCTAAAAATCACCTCAAAGTACGGCTTGAACCGGAGCAGCTGCTGCACATTGCCATAATCGGTGATGCCGGCCGGCCAATCGTGCGTGACGACGCAGTCGATGCAGTTCTTCGCGGCCTCCCCGTCTCGAGCGCGCAGTTGTCGTAGCCGGAACACTTCGAGGGCCCTCACATGGTAGGCCGAGATTTCGGAGCCTAGAAAAAAAGGTAAACAACAAACAAAACTTAATTTACCTCGGGCAAAAGGCGGGCGCTCGTAGTGGCCCTTCTGGTAGTCCTGGGCCTTGTAGATGCCCGACAGGCCGGCGATGCGCAGTCCGGCAAATTTGACGACGGAGGCGAAGCCCATGTAGTAGACGTTCGGGGCCACCCAGCCGCCGTTGGGCAGCTCGAGGAGGAAGCCTGCAAATATCTAAATTACCCGAAAACTGATCACGGATTTTACGAGCTTACGAATCCTGCAAAAATAAAACTGCCTACGCTCTTTTTAATAACTGAAAAATGTAAAAACCCTACACTTTTTCTTTAAAATACTAAAATACACACGTTTTTACGGGAATTTTCAAATTCCAACATTTTCCTAAGTCCATTTGAGTTAGATTTTGTTAAAACATAAATATAGATTTTTCGATCAAAATTGTCAAAATTTCATTTTCAAAACATTTGACTTAAATATAGCTAAATTTTGTTGTAAAATGTACCCGATGCCTCGTGGTTGCCGCCGACGAAGAGCGTGAGGATCGGGGCCGTCTCCTCGCCCGAGTAGTACTTGTAGAAGCTCTGCAGGCTCCGGAAGTTGGGCTTCACGTGCATGTGGTGGAGGTCGCCGTGGTTGCGCACCGACTGGAAGTCGCCTGCGCACACCACCAGGTCGACCTGAAACAGAAAAATATAGATAGAAACATACAAATAATATAGAAAACATTTAAAGGTCCAAGCAAAATAAATTTACCTTGATCCCGTCGCGCTTCTCGATCTCGGCGATGGTCTTGTAGACCTTCTCGATCTCGCCGTGCACGCAGCCCGTCACCGCCACCTTCAGCGTCTTTTTCGTGGGCGCGGCTGTCGGTGGGGCGGGTGAGGCGGCTCCAGCCAGCCCGGCATCTGGTGCTGCGGGTCTTGGCGAGCTCATCTGGAAACATAGATTGATATAAGTCGGAAACCGCACAGCAGAGAATGAGGAGAACAATAACCGTCTATAATGCTCTATTTAGCGTGTACAAATCTAAAACCAGTCGAAATAAGGATCCGCTTTTCTGAAACTGATTTTCAAAAGGCATTCGTCCGGCTCCGCAGCCATACTATACACCCTTGTACCGAATGCGCAAATAAGGGTCGATCACCCTTCGTTATCTTTGTAATTCCAAATTTTATTAATTTAAAACCGTTTTAGACACTTTTTTTAAATAAATTCGGGTTCTTTGGCATTATCGGGATAGGATTATGCTCATTCCGAAACAATAAGTTTACTCGTTTTAAATTTTCAGTAAACCTATTGGTTCGGAATGAGCAGTTAAAGACGAGCATTTTCCTATATAAACGGTTATAAAAACTCAAGGCTTCATGAAGATACAAGCCTGGAAACAGGGAACCTACTGGGGTCCATACTAAATGACCGCCAATCCTTACTTGCGCAGTCCATCAACTTTCTTTGGGTGTATCACCCCATTCTCGCCGAAACCAAAAATGTTGTTATATACCAAAAAAAGTGCTTGTCTTGAGCTGCTCTTTCAGGTCCGGAAAAGAAATTTCCGCTTCCGGTTAAATCTGGCCCGGATTACCCCAAAAATAATGGCTTTCAAGGGTTTGAGCTATGCTCTATCTGAATACAACCTCGGTTTGATCAGAAACTTGTTCTCGGTTAACAAACTGTGCTAAAATGGGGTGAACCTATCATTATGACGCGGACTGTATGTTCTTTAGAATGAGCCATCTCGCGGCACTGTAACTCAAAATTCATGAAAAAAAGTTGTTACCGGGGTAAGGGGCAGCTGGCCATGGCCACGTGGCTGCGATGGCATGGGTTGCATAAAATTAATCGAAATGGAAAATTTTGAATTGGGGTTCCGTGAGATTGCTCATTCGAACGGCCGGTTTTTGCTACTCCAGTCTCTGGCGGATGTCTTTAAAAAGTATTCTACAAGATTTTTTGTTGTATTTAAAACCGATAATTTCGAGCCAGTTTGTAACGAAAACAGCCGTAACGTTTCAAATCGAGCCCTTCCGCAGATTCTGCGCAAGATCGGCTTGGTCACGAATGGCAATTTCCAGCCAGGTGAAAACACTTTACAATCAGCCTAAATCCTGGGATAGGGTATGATTATCCTTGGAATCAACATTTTTTGCCAGTTGCATATTAGGCAAGACAAGTTTTTTTTATGAATTTCGGTTCCCGTTCGTTCGACACGGCGTTTCAGAGCGCGCACGGGAGGGGTGGTCGAGGCGTGGTGTAGTGGTCTAAGGCGGCGGTCCAGCCCCGAGACAGGGGGTGCGGGTTCGATCCCCGAGACCGCAAACCTCCGCGTTTTCTTTTTTGCTTTTTGCACCAAATGTTCATAAAGGAATTCCGTAACCCTATGAAACCCAAAAAAAGCTGGCTAGCACCTTCTCTCCATGCGGAATAGGCCAGTAAAGATCGTAAGCTTATCGCACCCTCTTACAGGACCCATTCGCTAAATTTCGGCGCTGGGCTATTCTAAAACTAGGTGCAAAAGATAGAGCAAGTTCTGCTCTTAGTTCCTAGTTTGCTAGTAGATTCGAAAACCGTCACAAACAAAAGTTATAGCTAATTGAAAACTTCAGAAAACATTGAATTGGAATCGTCGCGTAAATTTTTAAAACACCAAGTTGACTCAATATTGTGTAGTTAATGACAGATACTCTTCCAGAAAATGTAGTTGAGGCGTTTGAGCCAGTATTTAGCTGGATTTGAGCTCAAACGATAACTTGCACCTCATTTTTCAAATTTCAAACCATCAGAAGTCGCGTTTTCAACGCTCGATTTTGACAAAACCACTATTAAAAGATAGATCAAAGTCTCATCTATTTTTTGAGCGGTCGCTCAGATTAAGAAACTGCCCGTTTAAAAAAATTACAGAGGCTTGAAAGCGCAGAAGGCGTGCCCCCCCTTTGCTTTAAGAACCAATTACGCGTCGATTGGAGCGTGCCGTAGCCTAGCCCCGTCTTCCCCTCTGATGCGCGTTTTTCTTAAAGGATGAATCGCCGTGTCGAAGACAACATTTTTCTACCCATGATTCGGTCTAACTTCCTCCAAAAGGTGTTTTACAGGATATTTATCTGGATAAAAAAGCACTCATTTTAGACAAATTTACTCAAAACTTTTGAGTTCGGCATTCTCGGCAAATTTGGAAAACAGATTCGGAACCAAGGAAACATATTTCGAGCCTATGGGAATTTACGCAGTTCGTGAGACTTACTTAGTTAGACGGAGCTAAATAATGTTTGTTTGGATCGGGCAATTAACATTATGCAGAAATTTCGGTACGCAGAAATCCATTAGACAGAAAACCGTTATACCGAAAACCCATTACGCAGAAAACCATTACACAGAAAATCCATTACGCAGAAATCCATTAAGCCGAAATCCATTAGACCGAAATTACATTATACCGAAATCCCATTACGCAGAAAATCACTACGCAGAAAAACTATTACGCAGAAATTCAGTATATAGAAAAAATATTTCGCAGAAATTTGTTACCCCAACCGTTCCACTCCCATAAGATTCTATATACAAAAAAAAAGTTGTATCCGCGGTCGTTGAGGTTGTTTCCATCATTGACTGCTATCTTGATTGATATCTGCCTTTACCCAGTCGGTTCGCCGGCATCGGTTCGCAAATTGTGCGAGACCCGATACTCACCCTCCTCTCTAGACTTCTTGAAACAAATTTTGAAAACTTGCTCCGAATCCTGTTTGCTAACTTTCCCGGATTTTATCCACCAAGTTTTTTGCCTTATGATGCGTTGTCATCAACTCGGAAATTTCCAGCAAAGAGAATTTTTCCTTGTACGGAAATTTAGGTATAATGGTCTTCTGCGTAATGAATTTTCTAGGTAATGTATTTCTGCGTACTGGTTTTTCTGTATAATGGTTTTCTACGTAACGGATTTCTGCGTATTGAAATTTCTGTGTATTGAAATTTCGATATAATGGGTTTCTACATAATGGTTTTCTGCATAATGGATTTTCGGCATAATGGATTTCTGCGTAATGGTTTTCTGCATAATCAATTTTCGGTATAATGTTAGTAAATCGTTTGGATCAGGGGGTAAAGGGTGGATTTACGCGAGGGAAGTTCAAACTTCGATTCCATTTTCTTGTCTCGGGCGGTTCAGGGTCTTCGGGCAGTTCGCAATGAGTAAAAATCGGATCGATCGAGAACCAGCAGGCGTAGAACGGGTTGATGCGGCAGTGCGGAGCTTGTACTTCGTCGTATTCATAACCTAGCTCCAAAAGAAGACAGGTGAACACTGAAAATTTTGGGATTTTTGCTGATTTTGAGGTGATGTGATACCTCTGGTGGAATCCAGCCGTTTTTGATAGACCGCGGCTTCGATGGCTGCGAAAAAACAGAAACCCGGAAAGCCGTCGTTGGTGTAGGACTAAAAATAATAAGAATCCGGATTGGAACACAACAATAAACTTCAGCAACAAACACAACAATAAACTTAGAAAGATTGACCTTCAGGAAAGATGACTTTTAGGAAATCGAAATTCGGACCCTCGCCCTAGATCTGCATGTTTGACATGTTTATATCCAATTGTTTTTAAAACCTTAGAAAGGATATAAATCATCATTTTCTTTAAAATTTAATACACGTGCAGCACCCCTAAAGACTTTACGGCTGGGCCCAAACTCCCCCCTTCCCGATTTCTTGGTAACCTGGTTTTTTGGAGTCATTTATGTACAGGGTGGCGATTAAGTATTTGCGCCTGTTTCAAGCAAGTTTTTACGAGCTAAATCGTAGTCGGCAGAAAAAACAAATAAGTCCATTTTGTAGAGAATTTTTTGCTATATCAGATGCAAGGTGACATCAGGAAACCGCTTCACCACACAATTTTAATTTGTCTAAACATGTAAAACCGCGATTTTTTGTATGGATTTTCTTCATTTTTGAGGAGCTCAGAAATTTTTTTGAAGAAGCTGGATATATTTCCCGATGTTTGATCGTGGAAAGAGCTACCTGAACTTGCTAGAAAAAATGGGTATGGGCAACAGGGAGTCCTGAGTAGGGCACGGAAGCGAAAGTAAATTTTGGCAAAGCTCGAGGGCCGCGCATCCTGTCTCAGAGCGACTTATCGCAGAAGAATGCATTCTAAAAAATCGCACCTTTGAGGTATCTTTTTCGTTTTGCTATCAAAATGTAGGTAATTCTTGCGTCTTTTTACAAGCCACTTTAGCTCGAGCGAGAAAAGCTAAATTCTCCAGCCCATGATTTTTTAAGAGTGGAGCAAACGGGTCGCATAACCATGCATTTCATTCCATTGTTTTGTGCAAACATTTTGAGCTTTTTGAACGCCCTTAAGCTTTTCCGGGCCGTTTGGATCGCTTAACCAAGTTCCCATCATGGAAAACATCTTCGACAAGTGGTTGTAGAAATTTGAGATATTTTACGTTTTTCGTGAAAAAGCATCCCGCGCGGCTCAATTTTGGTGGTCGAGAAAACTATGAATAAAACTAGGATCCGATTAGAAATAATTTTTCTGTCTACTACGTTCGCTAAAGGGCTTTGCAAAGCATATAAAGGCCACTTGTTGTTTTCACCAACTGAGATACTTAGGCTGAAAAGCTTAAACAAAGGGACGAGATACGCGCGGCCCTCGCTGATGTTTGGGCGCTTCTCTCAAAGGTCATATCTTGAAAATTTAAGAATTAGGGCCGTAGATTTATTGGTAGCCGTAATTAGGTTATATTAGCTACATTATGGTCGTAAAATAATTTCGGAGACACGCTTCGATCATTTTTTTTTTTACGCTGCCTTTCCTGGCGCAAATAGTTAATCGCCACCCTGTAAAGGTTATTACCGTATTGTCTTTAATATACCGTATTCACCCTAATATAACCCCTCGGGTTATATTTTTTTAATCATCCTTGGGGACGGGATTGTA